TTTAATCAACTCCAGCCACAGCTAAGACTGCTTTCTGCAGGAGCAGCCCTTATGTTGCTGCAGTTGCTGAATATTCTAGGACATCATACCTAATCAGAAAGTCTTGCTCAGGACTGAGATGTGAGCCGTGACCGGCTGCAAGCTTTCTTTCCTCATTATTTATTTATTTCCTTGCCCTTAAGAACAAAATGGAGAATATTCCCATATTTAGAAATTCAAAACCTAAGTGTCTTGATAGTTATAAAAAATAAAAAGTGTGTGGTAAATATTTTGTTTGGAAAAAAGCAAAACTGGTTTCAGTTCTAGTCTGTAACACTACTTTCCAGTGTGACTTGGGCCAGCTCAGTAAATGATTCTGAGCTTAGTTCCAGCCAGCTGTAATGCCAAGAGAATAGTGTTTCTTTTCTTCCACCTGTTCTGTAATTTATTACAAACTCTTTGAGGCAGTGACTGATTTTTCTTGTTTGGCACTTTCTGTGGACACTTAGCCCAATTTTCTGGAAGTAATTAATTTTTCAGTTCATGATCATTCTAAAAAAATTGTATGTGGGTGAAATGAACAACTTTCCCCTGTTTACTGCATTAAAAAGGTAAAAAGTAAATTTTGGTTGAGTGCGTTACAAACCGTTATTTTTGCAATTTAAAATTAATGTTCAAATAAACTGTAATGAAATAGAAATGTAAATAATAGTTCAAATATATATAGTTTTATATGGCTGAAAACTGAGTTTGAATTAAAATTGGGAGAAAATTAGGGATATTTTCAGGTTTTTTTAAAATTTTTCTGGACTGTATGTCTGTAACATTAGCATTTTATTTCCTCTAGAAGAACATTTTTCAGGGTATGATCCAAAATTTGATCCAGCCGCATCCAGCATGGTAAAAACCTGATTTTTTTTTTAGGGGAACTGGAGGTGTTCTGTAGCAGTATGAGATATTGACCTCACCACATTTTAAACTCAGCCCTTCCCTGTAGGGTTGTAATGAGAACTCAGTCTGACCTGCTGATCAGGTAAAGGAGTTCAGAAGCCATTTCTTCAGCCTTTTGGAAAATTGCCCTTAAATTTGCTAGTGATTTCCTGTGTGTATACATGTGCATGTCCTGACATGGCTCAAACACTGAAGTAATAAGGAAGTATTGACTTCCACCCAGATGTCTGTTTCACTGAGCAAGTGTTGGCCAATGGATTGATGCACTATTAGCAAGCATCTGACTCCCTGCTAAGGGAGAATTTCCTGCAAACTAGCAGGCATTTCTGCAGAAATATCTTTGGAGTAAGGTAAGGCAGCATATGTGATTACTGGATATCAGAGAAACTTCAGTTGTTTGAAAGACATTTTTAAAAATACATCAGTTTTAGCATTTTAATTAATTCTGGCGGATTTCATGCATGCCCAGATTAGCATGTGTGGACTTTTAACCCATTAATATATCCCTTTAATTCAGAAATGTGACAAGCTAGTTGCAGTATTAACAACAAAACTATTCAAGGAATACAAAAGCTGATGCTGCAGTAGTAATGTTATCTCCACTGGGCTACACTAGTCAGTGTGGACGACATTCAGCCAAAACCACAACCAAAACACTCAAAGAGTGAATATAAGCTCCAATTAAAGTCAAGGGACCCCACCTTCATCTGCTCTGTATCAGTGTAATTTCACCAAATTTAAAAAAAAAAAAAAAAAAAAAAAAAAAAAAAAAAAAAAAAAAAAAAAAAAAAAAAAAAAAAAAAACAAAAACAAAAAAAAACAAGTTGGCATAGTGTCAGTTTGTAAATGTTGACCCCACAGACTTGGCTCAGTTTAAACCTCCTTTAAATATGGATGTGGATGCTTTCAGAGAATGGCCCTGCAGCATACTTGGCAAGTGGATAGACAAATAATACCCAGATACAGAAATACTTTTTGGACATGTGCTTAAATGCCCTTGCTAATGAAGTTAATGCTACATTTACATCCATAGGAGGCAATCTCTGAGCCCCTATATTCACTTCTGGGCATGGATCACGATTTTATTTTTATTTGACTTAGATTTTGGTGCTGTTTGGAGGGAGATGCATTTCAAAATGTGGATTTCCTCTGTGCATGTGTAGTCCTTGCTCTGAGATGGAATTTCATGGGCCTTGTGTGACGCCTCCAGTGCATCTGTTAATGGTTGCTGGTGTACCACAGCTTTGCGCTCTTAACTGCTAACGAAATTGCTCAGGTTTATGTGCAGACATGTTAGAAAGCAGTGGCTGGCTTCCTATGTGTCAAAAAAAATGTCTTCAGAAACAGTTCAGTGGTAAAGTCACAAGTTAGAATTGTTTATCATCATCAACAGGCTGAACTAATAGCTTTTGTCATGAGAAACATTAAGATTAAATAAGAGTGTAGGGGAGGAAAAGCTTTTATCTTTGGGAGTACTTGTATGCACAGTGTGCTAAATAGCACATCTTTTCACATGGTATGACACTCAGGTATGACGAATGCCTAAAGGACTTGCTAACATCACTGGTCTCCAGGTCTGCAGTTGGAAAGGAACACAGACCTTGCTAAAGCACAGCATGATCGAAACTTCTTCAGGTTGTTTTAAAAGCAGGGCTCTGATGAGACGGAATCAGTAAAGATTTCAGTTCATCTCCTGTAGAAAAAGAGTGTGTTAGATCATCAGTTGTGGAGAAATCTCAACTAGGTCATTGCATTTCTCAAGGTTTTCAAAATTCTTCCTACTTTTTCATGAGGAAAATCTTGTTTCAGTTGTATATGGGATTTTTCAGGCTCATTTTTAGTCTGTCACATTATGTGCCAGTGTTTTCTTTTGCCATGGACAAGGTTATATAGCTGTGACACATATAAATTGTTTATTATGTGGGTACGACATGAGAGAAAAAGTGTACCTGAGAAGAAATAGATCTATTGTAATCCTGTGACTGCATCATTTATCTTTTGCCATTGACTCTAGACACTACCTTTTTTGGGATTTATTTAAATATTTTCTGTTCAACTTTCAGGACCAGCCAGTCTTGTAATACGCATCATTGAAATGTACATTCTAGGAATTATATGTGTGTGTGTATGCATCTATAAAAATATATATGTGTGTGGATATATATGTATGTATATATGTATGTATTCTTTGTACCCTGAAGTACAGCTTTGCTCTTAGGCATGTGCCCCACAGAGTTTGCAAGGTGGCAAAGCACAGGGCCTGTGGTCAGACCAACTTCACTCTTTGTCAGCAGAGTGGCAAACCACATACAAATGAATGAGCTGCTCAGGAGGTAGCAGCCTCAATTCTTTCCCTTTTTTTTTTTTCGCTCTATGTTGGAGTGGGGCTCAAGCATGCCCACACTGTGGCTCTGGCAGAAGTTTAGCAGTGCGCTGTGGGATCCAGTTTGGCTTCCCCCAGTGAGGGGAGAGGTCAGAGGGAAGCCTAGGAGAGGTGATTAGGGTTTTTTCATCTTCAGCTGAAATATCCCATGACTTTGCTGTGATGTATGGGCACCCAGGAGGAACTCAATTCCTGTCAGTGCTCTGGGGAAAATCTTGCTGGACTGTCTTTTTGTTTTTCAAAGCAAGCATGCACTTTTTGTTGCTTCGTTGATGGTTAGAGTTTTAAAACATTTATTTAAGGCCTTATTTTTTTCTTTATACTTGAACCTCTTACCAGTAAAACAGATGGGTCTGTGGACAAAAGCCAAATGTATTTTCAACCTGAAGGAGGAAGGAAGACTGGTGGTGCCTGAACAGTGATTATTCTAGATTCAGAAACATAAATCTGTGGCGTCAAACTGGTGCTGACGCTTCCTTCTAGCAATGGTTGTCAGATCAAGAGGAACTCTATTAATACTTTGTGTCCTAGTAGATTAAGAGGTTTTTTCCCCTCTCCAGAACAGAAAGTTGTCAAGACTTAATCTGTATTGCATTGAGTCCTACATAGATGAATTTGCCCATGAAAACACTGAAATGTTTTGCTTTGAGGCCTTTCTTCTCTTTCTGCCTTACTCCCCCCACACAGGCATCCTACAGAAACTTGTACATCTTCTGACACAACCCCTAGTGCAGCTTCAGTGGTTGAAGGGGTGTGGATTTGTTTGGGAACATATAATCAGATTCCAAAGTCACACTGGCTTCAGACCAAAAATGTTGTTACTGGATGAAGGTTCTTATTATCTTCATTAATAGGAGGAATAACTAATGGGTTCAAAAAATTGAGATGCCAGGTGAAACTGTCTAAAACCAGGATAACAACATTCACTCACACATCATGACATAATAAGAAGTTTGATATGGGTCTGGAAAAAAACCCAACACTGTTGCATCTTGTAGCAGAACATTTATGAACAATCTCACTGTTATTATTTTTTCCATGGGATGCTACTGCAATTACTTTCTTTCCTTCCACCTGGTAAAAGTCAAAAGGATGTCTTTGTTGGAAATCCTGTTCATTACTGCCAGCCAAATTCTCTCTCCAAACTTTAGTTCATAGAGCAACTATGATTCTTTCCATAAGCAGAGAAAAGTTTATTTTGTTGTGAAACAGTAGAAAGAGAAGTTGGGCCCTGTGGTGTGTCCTTGATACTTACCACAGCCCACATCCAACTGTGCTCAATGCATCCTCTGGACAAGTACACGCAGGTGTTCCAACTGTACCTGCCCAGGACTCATTTCCAGGTGTAAATATCAAAAGCAAAGTGACCAGAGTGAATGTTAAATATGAAGTAATATTGTTGCTACATCTTTTTAGAGACAAAGGCATATTCAGCAAAGTTAATGAGAATAAAGTGATTCTGCTAGATTATTTAAGTGCAAATTGGATTTACTCGAAGGCTATGTAGAGGATGATTGTGGATTTTGTATTTAGCTATGTTTGTTTCATTGAAACTTTGTCGTTGATGTCACAGTTGCTCCTCACTTTGATGCTATATCAGGACAGAATAGCCAGCAGAGGGAGCAAAACCTTTTTTAACAATGAGCTGTTGGCGAGAACTCCGTGACCCTATAGGGGGATCAGGAAGGAACTTTCTCTGTGCTACTTTCTTTTCCTCAGGAATGGAAGACGAGGTAAGAGAGAAAGGTTTGCAGACCATGTTAAAATAAATAGTGTTGTCTGTTACTTTCAAACTTGAATTTAAAGCAGACCATGTTAAAAAAATTTGGAAATTCAGCCCCATAAATAAAGTGCTATCTCACTGCGGAGGGAGGAGGAGGAAGGAAACAAAACAAAAACTACGAACCAAAATGTGCAAAAAAATTAAGAATCAGTTGCTATTTTTTTTCTATTTGTTCGTGTTTTCAATGCCAAAACCATTTTCATCTAATGGCTGGGATCATTATGAAATGTATCCTGTGGTTTTGGCCACTTACACAAAGTTTTGTCACAGAGGGCTCTGTCATGACAATTTGCTGTTAATTGCTATGTAAAAGGGCCAACCATTGTAATTTCAGCACAGTCTTATTCATAGATCACCATCAGTTACCGTGGAGAATCCCAAACACTTTGAGAAAAACGTCAAATTAAAAAATGAAGGAGAAAATACTGGGGTTTTTGATGCCACTTCTCCCCTGCTTTTTAAATTTTTTAAGTCTTCCACCTGTAGTCCTTTGGGATTGCATGTATATGATTAAGGTCCTGTATATTAAGATGACAACAATTTCAGATCTGGCTAGTCTCTGCCCTAAGCCTGTCTTATCATCTCCAGAACAGCTGCAGATTTTTGTGCTGAGAGACTGGACCAAACACATTGAAGAGGGCATTTGGTATGCCTTCAAAGGGGTAGGCACACTCATCCCCAGCCCAGAAAGCTGGAGAGGAGGGAAGGGGCAGAAACATCTCAAAGAAGGAGAGGGTCTGCTGACGTGAATCAGGATTTAATGAGCTGACCACCTGCTCCTGAAATCCTCATCTGTAAGGTATTTGAGCCGATGAACTCAGACATGATACCTACAGGCTTTTCAGCTAATCTTGTTGTCTGACAGCGAAGTCAAAAAGAATGTGACCTCAGGAATGGAGAAGATACCTACTTGATATCCTGGCAGAGCATGTTAGTAAACATTTTAGCATCAGCAGGGCCTGCTGAGCAGTCTGTAGGTTAGGGGGCACATAAGGTTACTTAGCTCTAACATTAATTCTGTTTTGTAGACTCCTAAATTTCAGGTTTTGGATTCACTTGAATCCTCAGTCTTAGCTGGTGATATGCAGTGTAAGGGCAGAGAGGGAGGTGTGTACCACAACAACATCTGCAGACTTGTGCATGCAAGTACAAGACTAACTTTTGGAAACAAAGAGGAAAAAGCCACAAGAATTGTTTCCCCACTGCTTTGCTTAAACCTTTCTGTATCTGTCTTACTTTGAATGCGCCAAAAGTGAATGGCTCTGCATCCAAGACAACTGTGTGCCACAGGGCCCCCTCTGCCCTGTTATCAGCAGTGCTTATCATTCTTATGCAACATTCAAATAACTTAAGCTCCAGCTTAAATTGAATAGCTGTTGTACTAATGGAGCAATAAATTAAGCCATGCTATAGAATATTCCTGGGGCTTAAACCATGCTATAAAAGATTCCAGGGCTTCTTTGTCCCAACAGGAGATGTGTTGCTTCATGCTTGCAGAGGGATTCCCCTGAGGGCCTTCTGCCCACTGTTTTCTTGGTAAAACCCATTGCTGTGGAAAGCCTGACTCCATCTGCTCCTTTCTCCTGAGGAAAATGTTTCTTTTAAGGTCAGGAGAAATGTGAAGTCTTTATAAGGATGGCTGTAATGCAGCATTCAGAGCAAAGCTTGTGGGTTTTTTTCCCCACAGTGTGCCTCTGCAAAGAAGTTTAGGCATAATTTCCCTTGTTCAGGAACATTAGTCCTTGTTATTTTTCTTCTTACTCAAACTTAACAAATTGAGCTGGAAATATATCCATTGTCTGATTGAATGGGAGCATTAGCAGTATGATTTCCTTCCAGAGGCTGATGGCTTTGATCCATTCTTGAATTCTGTGTGTTGCAGTGTCAGCAAGCTTTCTTTGTCTATGATTTCTGACTATCATTTGCATTTGCATCTTCACCTGCTCTTGTGTTGTTCTCTATTCAAGAGCACACATACAGGTGTGCCACCAATGTGTAACTTTGTCTATTTCTTCCAAGTTAGGAACACAAAGCAATCTGAGAGTAAAAGAGGAAGAGACCTCCAAGGTGAGTGAGGAAAAGAAGTTGACTTTTCAGCTACCCCCAGACACCTGTGACTATGAGCAATCCCATTTATGTGCCCAAGTAGAGATTTTCAGAGCCTCACAGTCTGCTCTGTAGCCTAACATTACACAGAAACCTCTCAAGCTCCATTTTAGAGAATGGTTCATTATTCTGCCTTTGTTGCTATGTAAAAATCTCATGGCTCAGCAGGCTGGACAAATTATTATAGTCTTCTGTCTAAACCTATTTTGGCAACTTTATACCTATTAGTTCTTGTAGAAATGTACTTATTTTGATTAATTCTTTAATTCCTTACTATTCCTTCTCACTCCCTGTTATAACTAGCAATCATATGCCCCTTTGCCTTTCTCTGACTAGGTTAGCCAAGATTTTTAGTTTTCTTATGTAAAAAAAAAAGAGTTCTTTTTTTCTCTGATTGTACTAGAAGACTTTCATTGCACCTCTTCTGGTAACAGACTCCTCTTTCTGAGTTTGAATGATCAAGGAAATGTGCAATTTTTAAGGTTTTATTAGTTCTCTGTACAATCGTGTTCACCATTTCTGCTGGAAAGCTCTCTCATGATCACATTTCATGCATTTCCTTAAAACAATGTACATAGTTTTTGTATTAGAAATTATCATTAGAGCTCTTCCTACTCTGCATATGATCATTTGGTGCAGAACAGTTGCCCTAGGCATATCCAGTATCAGATTAAAACAAGTTAGAGACCCTATTGGTCACATGTGTTTTTCCCTTAATGATTTCCCTACCATGCCTTCTGAGTGAAGAGTTTCAGGGGAGGGGAATCAAGTAAATAAAAGCTATGTCACAGCACATGCACACTAGAGAGTTAAGTTAAATCCTACATTTTTGATTGTTGTGTTTTGGAGACACAACATATTTCTTTCAGCATCATGTAGAGTACTGCAGGCTAAGGCAGTGCTGTGCAAATGCTGGCATGTAGTTGGAACACTTGCTTTACTTGTGAAGGATGAGCCTATTTACAAAATTAGGCAGATCTTCCCAATGGATGTCAATGGGAGCTTTAATACTCACTGCCATACCTTTAAACACCACTCTCTGATGGATGTCACTCATTTTGTCAGTCCCGTTCAAACACTTTGGTACTGAAATCTCAGTTTGACCATGATGGGTTCGTGGAAGACTAAATCTGTTGGTAGAGAAGGGAAGAAATTCTGCATGCAAGGAAGAAAAAAACTTTCACTCTCATCAAAATGAAAGGTGTTTTGGCTTTTTTTATTATTTTTCTTGGCTTATCTATTACAGTCACTTTAAAAGGAAGGTCATTCATACTGCTGAAGGGCACTCAGTGGTTAAAGAAGTCTTGAAACTGCTGAGAAGGACTTGGAGTTGTTGGTGGATGAGAGGCTGGACAGGAGCTGGCACTGACAGCACAGAAAGCCAAATTTATCCTGGGCTGCATCAAAAGCAGCATGGCCAGCTTTGCCACCTGCATCCAGCTCTGGGGTTCCCAGCCTAGAATGAGCTTTGGCCTATCGGAATGAGTCTGGAATTGGGTTACCAAGACAATTAGAGGGGTGGAAAGCTCTCTCCTATGAGGAAAGGGTGAGGGAATTTGGTTTGTTCTGCCTGGAAAATAAAAAGTCTAGGGGGTGGTCTAATTGCAGCCTTCCAGCACCTGAAGGGAGCCTACAGGAAAGATGAAGAGGGACTTTTACAATGGCAGGTGGGGACAGGAGAAGGGAGAATGTATTCAAACTGAGAGTAGGTTTAGATCACATATTACAGAATAGGCTGGGGGAGGTTAGAAATACATCATTAAGGTCCTTTTCAATTCAAGCCATGTTATGAGTCTATTAAAATCTGCTCCTTAACAAGGTGAGGCCTTTCAAACACCTTTTCAACTTTGAGACAGATATGCAGAGGACAGAAGTAAAGCCCTCCTTTTCTTATTTTTCATTGCTAGTGTGCACCCTAATTGATAGCACAGCAATCCCTGGGGTGAGCTCCTCCACTTCTGCATGTTTGTTAAGCTCAGCTGATGCCAATGAAACAGTGGTGATCCACATGAGCTGAGGACGTGGCCTCTGGAGTTCAGAGGAGCTACTGCAGAATATCAGGCCGAAAAGTGATTTCTGAAGGATTTTCAGTTAAGCTAATGCCTAAAACAAATAAAGAGGAGGTTTCTTTATGTGTTTAAATGCTTTTGTTTGAGATACTCAGTAAGCAGTGTGTTTCTTGACATAAACAGAAATGTACAAAAATAACAGGTGAGTGTTTACCAATTCTATTTACTTTTTATAGCAGAGTAGACATATTGCCTATGCTAATTTATGGGTTTGGCTGATGTGATCCAGAGAAGAGAAAAATGTTTTAATAGAAGTAAAGTATAATTTAAGCTTTATTACAGATCTCAAGTTTATTGAAATGTGACACAAGAAGCTTTTTGGGATGTTAACCATGTATCCACAAAGCATGAAATAAAGCCAGGAACGAAATAAGGGTATTTTCAGTCTTCTTTCAAAAGACTAATGGCTTCTTTCATCAATCATGGTTAAATTTAGGATATCTATTTGGATAAATACATTTGAAATGGTGGCTGGTTATTTCTTTTCTTTGTTGTTGTGTTTGGGTGTCTTTTTTTCTGTTCATAAACAAAACTTTTTTGTTAATGTATTTTCTTTCTTTGAGATACAGAAAACCTACTGACTGTTAAAGCAGGGGATGACGCTTTTAGTTTAACCCACAGTTTTAACTGCAGCTAGCCATGAAACTTAGTTCTGGATTTGGATCCCAGATTCCATGATTACTTACAGAGATTTTTTTCTAATTAATGTTTACAAGTGTTCTATAGTTTAGCAAACCTAGTAAGTATAATGTAAAGAATGGGTTATATTTTTGCAGTCTCTTAGCATGTTAGAATGTCTGTCCTGCTTGTTATCATTGGAACAATTAAGAAGGATATTCTGGCAATGAGTTAATTTATCTGGAATGTAAAATGATCTTTTTGTTTTTCAATTTCAGAGGAAGGAACCGGGCTTTATACCTAATCTCAAAAAACATGTCTGAACTGCTGATCCCAAGGCATGCTGTGATTGTATGAGCTGGTTTAATTGGATATGCGGATCCGAGTTCACTCCTTGCATGCACACAGCTATTTGGAAAGGGAGCTTGTTAATGAAAGTAGAAGAAAAACTTGAAGGAAAAAGCACGTTTGGCATTTAACTAGCAAAAGATTTGCTTTCTTCATTAAAGTCATTATAACTGAGCTCAAGAATTGCACATGCACAAGGGAATTATTTGAATTAAGTTAATAAAGTTGTACTTTATTAGGTGTGAGGGGCCTGATTATTCCATTAGTAGCGCAACACAGCCTGAGCTCAGATCTGTGGACTGCAGCAAGCAGGTTATAAGGACGAAGCTGTGAAGCTCCTGTCCTGTGCACCTCTTCACCTGGGTAAGAGGAAGGCTTTTGTTTCTGTTTTCATGAAATGGGACAAAATAAATTGGTGCTGTGATGGCTAAACCAGTAATCAATAGAGTTTGTTCTCAGGAAATTTAGAGGAAAGCCATTCAATTACTTGGTAGAAACTCTACATGTACCTCAGCTGTCTCTGAACATGTCAAGCCTGGCGAATATACAGCAGGGTTTGGACATGTTCTTTTCAGTGCAATTGGCTTTTGTTTGTTTACTTCTTTTTTATTCAGTTCTTGAAGCAAGATTCAAAAAATAGTACTATCTATATCTCTGCAGAGCACAGTGGGTGCTGGTAATAAGCTGCTTTCAAGCATAGAGTGTTATCTGTAAGGTGAAATGCTAAAGAGTACCACCTACTTGTTATGTAAATATCCTGCTGAAAGGTCAAGTGAATGCTTTTTTTTGGTCTGGGAAATGCTCTTAAAATTTTGCCAGTTTGGGTTAAACAGATTTGATCAGCCTTGAAGCCTGGTAAACTTTAGTATCACACAACAGTGAAGAAATTACCTGAAGTGTTGTTGAGTCTGAATGATGAAACTAGAATTCTCCAAATCCTCTTCATGAAAAATATTGAGAACAGACATATAAGTGGTGCTTCCCAGCTCAGTGGCAATAGTAAAGGAGTCCAAAGACATGCAAAGTAGGATTATTAATAATTAAGGATAAAGTGAGCAGTTTTTTGGGTGTTTTTTGAATTGCAGATAACATGAGAATGTTATGGGTAGTAATGCACTTTACATAAAGGGCCCCACTTCTGAATGTACCTTAGTATCATCCTGATGTCAACAAGCGCATCCCCTGTCATTTGTCACTAAGTGTGGAACCCACCCTGAGCTGAGCAGATGAGTGTGGGCAGAGCACTGCTCTTGTCTGCTGGGGGCTGAGTTGTGCTACCAAACATGGTCTTTGGGCTTCCCATCAGATTTGTGCTTCCTGAACCACTTTTTGAGTTAGAGAGGATCTTTCCAGCTGTGTTCACAAGGTCAATAAAATGGAAGAAAATTTAAAGTTATTACTACCAATATATTTTAATTTAGCAATAGTTTTCCTAGTGAGGACAAAGTCTGCTTGCTACAAAACCCGCTTTTACTACAAAACCATCACAATATAAAACTTACTGCTCATAGTGAAGATTATGGGCATCTTGCCACAGCTTTGACCCCATGTTCACTACTGAATGCACAAAGATGGTTTAGCCTGATGAGTTAAGGAGTCAGCTAAGAAGTTAGCGTATTAGGCAGACTCTCTTTTCTATAATATGCCATTCTTTACCAAATATTCACATCTCTAGGTCAGCAAAGAGTTAATAATCAATTGCTACTTAATGAACCTATAAACCACCTTATTAAATCTGCATTGAATGTGTAGTTAAGTGTACTCAGAGAATTTAAATTTAAATGTTACCATAAAATCTGCAAGTGGAATTAGTGTAGTGCTTTTGAGATTACATTAGCAGCAAAACAGGGGGTGGATAGTTATTGTTAATTAAACTATACAGGCAACATCCAGTAGAGTCCTAACGGAGTGTAGGATGCATCTATTTGTTTAACATGTTACAGTTTCAGGACTCTTTGTCCTCCAACTCCTTTCCCCCACCACCATCCTTTTTAAATTAGCAGTGGAAGATTTTGGACTGATTTTGTTATTCTGTAAGGCTCATGAAATGTTGAAGTTGTCCCTTTCCATTGTCGCTGGAATGGGCTTGACATTAATACACTCCATAGAGGGATGGAACAATATAATTTCACTATGAGTTTGTTTATTAAAGTATTTTATGACAATTTTTTTCTTCCATCTAAGCAGTCTCTGAGGAAAACTCTAGATTTGATTTCCTCTAATGAAAGTGTCCCCCTTATTCATGACCACATGAGTCATGACATCCTATATTTTTTTGCACTTCTGTGCTTAGGTCAAATACTGCAAAAAAGCCACCTTACTCCCCAGTCATTGTCCTTTTCCTTCCTTTTTCCATATCTGTTTGTGCAGTACATGAGACAGAGAACAAAATTCCTGTGGCATTTTTTTTGTTTGAGGGGAATTTCTGTCAGACTCGGTGTCTAATCTGTACCATAGTTTCTCTACCTTTTGAAAGAACGAAATTTCTCCTCTCTGTGATTGCCCTCAGCATGACACTCCCTTCTTAAGCTTGTTTTCAATACCAGCTGGGCACTCAGAAAGATAATAGTGCTAGATACCTGTCCTCTTTTAGCTGATATATTCCATAATTTGTGTTCTAGTCTTTGAGAGTCCTCCAGACCTGCCTCCCTGGTTGTTGCCTCTACTGACTGTCACGGGATAGGTGTCCCTGTGCTGTGTAGCCCTTTTTTTTATCTAAAAGGAAGAGCCTTGCCCAACAAACCTTTAGATAAATCATAAACTCTGGTAGAGATAAGGTTCTGCAGGTTTTACATCTTGTTCCTATGGTCTTTTAGAGCTGTTACCTGGTCTTTAGTGTCTCCCCTTGCCCTGCAACCCTGACACTTCTGTAATACCTTGCTAAAACTCCCTTGTTAGCGGTTCCTGCTTTGACCTTTCTCCTAGCTGAGGAATACACTGAGTGCAGGCAGCTAGGTGTACAAGCTGCAGATTGAGCTGCTATCTCTTTGCACAACAAAGGGCATGAAGACCTGTGTCACCAGCCAGGAGAATGACAGCAGCTCCAGAGACATTGCAGAAGACGCTGACTCAGCAGGAAGACCCCAGGCTTTGCACGGATGGACAACTTGAGCTGTTACTCTGTTATTGCACCATGAATAAATTGCTTTATGAATCCAGAGGTTTTAGGCTCTGCTGTGGGAAGCCTGGGGTCAAATCAATAAGGAAGCCTGGTCTGACTGCGTGAGAGTGGGGTGTGTAGGGAGTCAGGTGGGACACCCATGAGCTCACTGGAGCTACCCACTGCAAAGGGGCTTCAGTCTTCACAGTGAAAGTATCCAGTAGTGGGAGTGTGACTTCCAGAGTGCCTCCTGAATGGTTAGACAGAGAGGTTTCCTTAACATTCCTTATATGCAAATGACTCATCAAAAGACTTATCATAGAGTCATAGAGTGGTTTGGGTTGAAAGTGACCTCAAGGGTCATGAAGTTTCAACCCCACTGCTGTGGGCAAGGAACTCTTATGCTGCTGCTATATATTATCTGTCATCAATTGCCCCTTGTCACCCAGGTCTTTTTTCCACAGATAGTTCCTTGCCTATTTCTTGTACAGATATCCCTGATAAACAGATCAGGACAGTGCTCATTCCCCTTTATTGCTTTCTGAAGCACACAAACTTGCCTAAATAACAGTATTTGCAATAGGAGTTTTTGTGCTCCTGTCCACTGTGGAAGTTTAATTTAGACCCTCTGCATCTTTCAAAATTGTTTTTGCTTTTCTGTGAAGCGTCATGCACCTTCTAGGCACCAGAAGAATATGATACAATAATAATGAACATGAGACTACGCTTCGGCTGTTGAACGGGTCTTTTTACCCCCAGCTGTACAAACCACGTGGTTACTCTTCATTTTCAAAAAAGCCAGTGAGTCAACTCTCCTAAGCAAATCCATTGTACAGTGTGAAGTGTTCTTTCCTAAACACTCTTAAGACTACATTACAATTTGACTCACTGGTTGCTTTATTTTAGTCACAAAGATCCGATTCCAGGTCTTTTCCTTCTACTTGCTGAAGGTCATAGCCTGGAAACCTGAAAGTTAAGTCAAGCGCTTGACCCCTGTGAAGCCAACAGGACCTCATGCATTATTTGGTAATCCTTCCCATTCATCCTGTCTGTGCAGTTGTGCATGTGTGTCTAGGCCACAAGTAAGGATTTGCAAAATAGAGCCCTTTTTTTTGTAATTGAAAACCATTGTTGAAGAAACAATGATTCAATAACCTCTTCTGAAGATGGTCTAATGTCTTTCTCCAGAGACCATGGTGAGCACAGTGGTAAATTGATTTTAAAAAGAGTATGGCATTTTTAACTTTTTATGCAAGACTGACTCCAGTTTCAGGCTTCTACTTAATAGCTTTGGATAATGCAGGATGTCAAGCATTGATGTGAAGTGTATGTGTGCAGGAGAACATTGTATTATCATCTTATTTCTTCAGATTTTTCCTACTGTAAAAGAAAAAAATCAATAGTAAGATGAGTGAACAGATAATTTAAATGAAGAAATAAGTGGTAGTTGTTTGATTTCCTGTTGTACAAAATGGTGATATATGCTTGGAAGCAGCCACTCTTTTTACATCTCTTGAGGGAGTTTTTCTTTCCATTTTCACCTTTCTACTGGGCTGGTCAAAAAGGAAGCTGAACAAGCACAGAGAAAACCAAGAAGGTCTAATAGGGGTGGGCAGGTGGAAGAGCTTTCCTTAACTATGTATGAAAAGTAAAGAATATCTTTCCTTTCTTGAACTAACAGAACTGAAACATGGATTCAAAAATACATGCATGCTCATGGGTCCTTTAATCTCAAAATAAAAATCCACCTCAGTGTACTCTGATTGAATAGGATTTGCTGGAGATTAAACTAGCAAGTATTGTGAAGGCTGACAAAAAATTCTGCAGTACCTCTGTACCAAAATAAAAACTAGAAAATGTGAACCTTCTACTCCATGGACCAGGATACCTAATGACAAAAGACAGGGAAAAGATGCTCAGTCCTTGACTTGATTTTTTTTCACTTGCATGTTCTGTCCACTGGCCATCAGGTTCCTGGTTTTATTAGCAGGACCTAAGTGAATCCTTATCCACACTACAAGAAGGTGAAGTAAGGAGTGCTTCATGTAATTGACTGTAAGCAAGTCTATAGGACC